ACTCTGCCCCTCATACCAACCTGGGTGGAAGATTCCAGGCTGTGTCACCGGTGTGTCACCAGCATGAGAACCCTGTCACCAGCTCTGCCAGTGAATGGGAGAGATGAGCTGCAGGGCTTTTGAAACCTCCCTCCTCTGACACACAGCCACAGCTGAGACAGGCTTCAAACCCACCCAGCATCATCCCCAAAATGCTTCACAGCAGGAGAGAACAGGGCTCCTCACCAACAGGGGAGAAAGCACCTGGACTCTCCCCAAGGTGTCACCACTTGGCATTTGCTTCCAGGCTCCTGCTGCCACTGCCAGGGCACAGCTGCTGCTTGACCCTCACCTCCAGGAGGATGGGAAATGCTGTCCTTGCCCTGGCCTTTCCCTTGGCACAGGAGCAGCACAAGGATGAAGCTGCCAGAGTCCCCCATGGCTTGAGCAACCTGCAGACACTTCCCAAGGCGGTGTTTGGGGGCAGTGGCTCTCCAGGGCAGTCACCTCCAGGCTCACAAGGGCAGGCACAAGCAGCCTCTCTGCCAGTAACTTGGGGTGTGCAATCTGCAGCCCATCTGCCAGGAATCAGGGCTCACACAGCACTCATACTTCCCTTTTTCTGCCTCCTCCCACCAAGATTTCTTGATTGCAGCCTGGCTGCTTTCGTGCACCTTGTTACTTGAGATTAAAGCAACATCCAGAATAAACACACAGGGGCTCAGCAGCACAGCCTGCCCAGCAGCAGCCTGGCCTTCATGATGGTGACCCCTTGTTGCAGGCACCCTTTGAAGCAGGAGCATTAAATAATCCCAAAATCAAGGCACTTCAGCACAAATGTCTCAGTATATCTTTGATGGCAGCGAAGGAGAAACGTTCTTCCACAAAGAATGGTTCATGATGGAAATTGGCTGCTCTTACTAACATTTTCCACCCACTTCCCAGCCTGAGAACCAACACACGTGGCTCAAGAACACAGGGAAGGGACAGCATGATGCTCAGCCACCCAGGCTGCCTCTCACTCCTTGGTGAGAGGATGAAGTCAGCTCAGCTGGCCCCAAAGCAGCGCAGATCTCGGGGACAGGACTCTCACACCCCCTCCACGGCCACAGGAGTGTTTAGCCACCTCTCCTCACCTCCTGCCCACCAGAACTCGATCTCAGTCCCTCTCAGCTTTCAGCTGAGGAGCTACAGATCTGTGTTTCCTCTGGTCACCTTAAGATCACTTTCATTTCCATTAAATAAGCACGTGACAAAGGGAAGAAGCAATGTTAAGGGACATATTATTACCACAACCCAGGTTTAAATCTCCCCTGAGCTAAGCAGCCCAGGCCTCTCTTTATTTCTCCCCCAAATCTGCCCTGCCTTCCTGCTTCAATCCACACAACTGAAAGGCATCTGGGGCAAAGGCAGAGGCAGCTGCCCAACACCAAAATACAACTGCAGCCCTACAGAGACAACCCAGCTGCCACTGCCACGGGCACGTGTGGTCTGGAGCCCCAGCAAGAGACTCCCCCTCCTCCCTTGCCAAGGAAAATGCCACGTAGTACCATGGGACCTGCCTGCACTGTGCAGGGACACAGTGACAATAAATCACATTGGTAGGGCTGGGTGTCCACCCCAACCACCCCTGCTGCAGCAGGCCTCAGGCACTTCTTCCAGACCTCCAGGAAAACCCTCTCCTAATGACCCCCAGCCATGAGACGTGGTCAATCCTTACTCTAACACCCTTCAAACCCCCAGAACTACCAATGTGCTGTAAAGATACAGGGTCCTGTTGTACTGCCTGGGAGGATTACTTTTATTTTCACCCCAGAACAGCTGCCACAACACAGCTGCCTCCTTCCAGCTGCCATTCCCTGCTCCAGAGCACCACACAAGGCTCTTCCAGCCTAACGAGCCCTGCATTTCCCTCTAATTAGCCTGCTGTTCTGACTTGCCCAGGAGCAGGCAGCACAGAATCGTGCTGGGCCAGACATCCCTGCTAACAACTGCCAGAACTTGGCACTGCTCCTCCCTATCTAAGCTCAGGTCTCCAAGAAAACTCTCCACAGGAAATTCCAGGATGCCACCTGGAAGCAATGCCTGTCCCACCTGGTGCTGGCACAAAAGTGCTCCATGGTCCCATCCTGACATCCCACCCACCCTCAACTGAGTGCCTCGGCTTTCTTCACTGAGCTGCATGAGGGGGACACAGCACCAGGCAGGCAGCCTGAGGGCACACTGGAGAGAAGTTCTCCTCACTTAATTACCCCAAATTAACTTGCCAGAAGAAACTGGCCTCCCTCTGTGACATAGCCCACCTTGGACCTGCTTTCTGTCCCACAGGACACTCTGCACCACTCCACTGTCACAGGCTCTTGTGTCTGAGCCCTACCTGGTGATCAGCAGCAGCAGGTCAGGCTCTCACAGAAATACATTTTTAGCAGAAATCCATTTAGCACAAATTAATTTTAGATGGACAGGTACAGACAAAACAAGGGAGAATGGCTTCAGACTAAACAAAAGGAGACTAGAGTAGATGTCAGTAGGAAATGAGGGTGGTGAGACCCTGGCACAGGTTTCCCAAGCCATGTTGGACAGGGCTTGGAGCAACCTGGTCTAGTGGAAGGTGTCCTTGGGTAGAACAGGATGAGCTTTAGGGCTCTTCCAACCCAATCCACGCCGCGATTCTCTGAATGAGCAGCTCAGCGGGCAGGAGCAGGGCAGGGACCGTCCGCGGCGGAGGAGCAGCGGCCAAGGCAGCAGCAGCAGGGACGGGCCCTGACTCAGTCCCGCTCAGATTTTCCCCCACGCTCCGGGCTCCCCGCGGCCCTCGCCCCGACAGCTTCTGCCTTCCCAGCCCGGGACACCCAACGTGGCTCAGCACGGCCGCGAACGGAGCGGGGCGCACACACGGCCCCGGCCCTCTCCGTGCTCCCCCCGGCGGTACCCACCTGCCGGCCGCTGCCCGCCGCACCCGGGCCGGTACCGTTGAGCAGCGGGGTGGTTTCTCCCGCACGCCCGTCCTCGTCGTCGTCGCGGTCGCGGCCGGACCAGGACACCTTCTTGGCGACGTTGGCCATGCGGGGCGGCGGCGGTGCTCCGCCGGACCGGGCCGGGCCTGCCCCGCCGCGCCGTCATGTGACCGCCGTCACGTGCCCACCGGGCGCCCCGAGGCACCATGGGAGTTGTAGTTCCGGCGGGGGCTCGGAGCGGCGGCGGGACAGGATAGTGAAACAAAAGATTTTCCAGAGATCACTTGAACTAACAAAATGAATGTATCAAAAATAAATGTATAAAAATAAATGTATAAAAAGAATGTATCAAAAATGAATATATCAAAAATGAATGTATCATGTTTGTAGAATCATGTGTTGAATTTTAAGAAACCCCTGCACAGAAAGGCATAGGAAAGGAAAACAAAGATCTCTAAAGCTTCTTGCAAAAAGACAAATACCGGAAAGGACAAAGAATGCTAAGACTTTCAGACAAGGAAGTCCTCCGTCTCCAAAATGTCAAGGATGATGAACTTATCCAGATAGGAGAGCAAAGGACCAAAAGCACAAGCGCAGAGGAGGAGAGTTCAAAAGTTCAATGCAGAGGAAGATGAAGATACAATTAAAAGACCACCAGGGACCCCCATAAGGAACCCCACAAAAAAACTACGCATGCCCAGAAGGGCGTGGACCTATTTAGCATGAGAAGCAAAGACAGGCGGGGCCAGGGGTTGAATATGCATAGAAAAGTTGTGTAATGTATTGCATATGGAACACCCTTGTGAATAAAGTCGGGGGACAAAGTTCAGCTCGGGGCACAAGATTTCGGAGAGTTATCTCACTTGTGCCGGGCGCCGACAATACATACCCACTTCATAACTACCTCGAGTTGTGGAGTCTATTTATTTATTCCGCATATCGCTTCAATAGGACAGTGATATAAATGGTTATAATTCGCGCCTCTGAAATATTGTTATATTAAATATGGTTCACTATATGAAATGTTTAGTTTAATGTAAAAACACACGCCGATGCTGAAGCCAGCCCCCCCCGCCCCATATTCGGGTTCAACCTAAACAAAAAAATGTCTCATTTACAATCTAATACATGCGGCTCGCCCCGAGATGGGCTGTTCCAGGAACTGATACCGGGACCTGGGAGCTGATCATCCCGGTAATGACTCGGATCGAAATCTCTGGAGACCTCTGGGCTGATACAGCTGAAAGCCACATTCCTGTAACTTCATCAGCAAGATCGTCCACACCTGGACTTGGATTGTTTGGACTTGGCCTGGAGAAAAGAACTTTAGGAATATGGGGAACTCTGAATGGGAGAATAGGCGGATGGCTGACATCCTCGCCCCGGGTGGACAATTTCCTATAAAAACCGCGGGATCCAAGAGGGTGGTGTGGGTGTCTGGAGGAACCTCTGCTGTGAGGGGTCCTGTCAGTCACTCACCCAGCGCCGATCCCGGGCTCGGCACTGCCTTTTTCCTTGTGGCTGGCGAGATAGATTTTAATCATAAATAAAATTATTTTTATTGCATTTTTAATTTGGCTGGAAACATTTTCATTTAGAACAACGGGATGGGATGGGATGGGATGGGATGGGATGGGATGGGATGGGATGGGATGGGATGGGATGGGATGGGATGGGATGGGATGGGATGGGATGGGATGGGATGGGAACACGGGGCTCAGGGAACAGCTGGAGCTGACGCTGCTCCAGCTCTCCAGGCACAGAATTCCTCAGAGCAGACACTCTGAGGAAGTGAGTGTGCTTCGCCTTACGGAGCAGCACAGCTCGGGCCAAGCCTGTCCCACCAAGGAGCCCCACGGCTGTCCCGTGCTCCGCTTCCCCCGCTCCCACTCGGGGCAGGGAACGAGCAGCGTCACCCGCTCCAGCTGTGAGCGGCGCCGAGTGAATGAGCAGGACAGAGATAATAAATTGGGTTTCTCTCACGTTAGGATCATTTTAATCAGAACGATGGGCTGTGCATCCACTAGGAGCAGGCGATCTCTGGCTTTGGTCCCACCTCTGCCAAGACCCCTTTCCCTTTTTCCCTCCCAGTGGTGCCGGTTCTGAGGCGCTCTCCCTGCTGGGTGTCCCATCGCCCTGGGAGGATTCAGCTGGTGTCGGGAGCGGCTGGTAGCCGGCACCATTCCTGCCACAGCCTCCTCAAAGGCAGTGCTGGAGGCAGGGACACGCCACCCTCCGCACCCCGCCCTGCAAGGAGGCATCGGCCAGCGTGAGGAGGGGGCCCCGGGGCAGCCACAGCCCGGTCACCATTCTGGCCACCTCCCCGGGCAGGAGAGCCCGTCTCCAGAGAGCCAAGCCAGCCAGGTGACCCACAAAAACCTCTCCAGTGCCCATGTCCATGTTAGGGCCGTCCTGCCCCCGGCCCAGCACCAGCGAGCCACCAGTGGGAATTTCATAGCCCTGCTGGAAGCCGGAGCCGGCAGCCAGCAGCCTCCTGTCCATGTAGAAGCGATACTGGCCCTGGCCGGAGGACCAGGTGAGGCACAGGTGGTGCCATTTGCCATCCAGGAGCGGTGCCACCGGCAGCTCCCGAAATTGCCCGTCCCCCAGGATGAAACGTGCGGAGCCAGGGCGATCCCCACCGGGGCCATGCATGGCCAGCTCGCTGTGCCCTTCCCCGGTGGTGTAGGAGAGGAGAGCCCCGAGGTGACGGGCTGGGGTGGCCAGCCAGGCACAGAGTGACACCGCCCGCAGGCCCCGGTGTGGCCCCAGCCCCAGCACGGCCCCGTGCTCGGCGGAGGTGTTGGGGAAGAGCAGAACGGAGCCGGTGCGACAGGCGGGGGCGGTGGGCACCGGGGCAGGGGGGCCTGGGGGCTGCTCCTGGGGAGCCGTGGTTACGGTGGGGAGCACCGCTGCCATGCTCTGGGGTGCTGCTGCTACATCCCCAGGGCTCTCCTCATCCTCCCCGGGCGCTCCACCGGGCCTGGCATCACCCAGCAGCCGCTGCCCGTCCTCCTGCCGGTGCTGCTGCCACCGCCTCGTCTTGGGGCGGCGAGGGCTGGGGGTGCTCCGGGCAGCGTCCGGCAGCCCCTGCGGTTTGGTGCCAGCCTCCAGTGCGGCCGCTGGGTGGGTGAGCTGGGTGTGTGGTGGGCTCAGGGCACCCACTGTCTCCTCCAGCTTCTTCAGCCTCCGGCGTAGCCGCCGGCCAGCAGTGGCCAGGCGGGCCAGCTCGGCACCCAGCGCGGCCCGGGCAGCATCAGCCACTTCTGCCTGCTCCGCCAGTGCCTGGAATCGTCCGTCGATGTTGTAGGAGATGTTGTAGTTGCTGGCGATGCTCTGGAGATGGTTCAGTGTCACCTCCTGGAGCCGGAGAAACTGCAAAGGAGTGGGATGACGTGGAGTGAACACACGTCCCCATGCCGGGTCCCTGCCTGTCGGAATCTGTGGGTATTGATGATTCTGAGACTGTAGAAAGTCTCTGTCTTTCTGCCCCACTGCCAAAGAAGAAGCCATAATTTGTCTGTGCTGGTTTCAAGGCTGTTTATTCTGTTTATCTCTAACATGTTCTGCTGCCCTGCCGCAGCTCTGTCCTGCAGGGCAGCGTGTGGGGCTCTGCCCTCAGTGGGATGGTACAAACATTAAATACCACAAACTACCTGTGCTGGATTTACAATAACGTGCCAATATCTGTCACCTACGTTGGACAGTGTGTCCCCAGCCTGAACCAACAGAAAAATGCCAACACTACAGTGAAACATGGAGGGCATGAAGAAGGAGAAAAAGGACAAGGCACACCCAATTCCTCCATCTTGTCCCCTTTGAACCCCTAATCTAGAATCCTAAAATTTTACTCTTGCACCCGTGTCACACTTAATTATTATTCTTATCAAACACTCAAAGCTTGTAATTCATCCTGTAAGATTGAAAACTCTTTTGCATGGACAGAGATCACAGACAGTGTCTCTGGGGGCTCTGTCCAGGGGGGTTCCTGACCCCTGCCAGGGTCCCAGACGTGCCAGGGCAGCCAGAGGGAAGCCCTGGATTCCCACACCTGCCCAACCCAAAATGCTGAGTGTGCCCTGGCACAGGCTGAGCAGCACCCGCTCCCCACCCCGGGCACCCACCTGCTCCTCCAGGCGCCGCAGCCGCAGGAGCAGCGGGCCGGGGCGGGCCGGGGGTCCCGGTGCCCGGGCCAGGCCGGGCTGCAGGGCAGCAGCGAGGATCAGGCACAGGGAAAGGGCCATCCCCGCCATCCCGCTGCCGGACGCTTTCTGTCCGCACGGCAAGGCCGGGCTGGCCCCCGTGCTGTCCCCTCGGGCACTGATGAGATCCGCAGCCGCCCTGGCGCGCTCCAGCACCGCGGCTCCCAGCGCCCAGGCCCCGGGCCAGCGCTCCGCGGGGGCGGCTGGACCGGCCCAGAGCTCCCGGGGCTCCCGGGCAGGGGCCGGGCCGGGGTATTCGGCTGTGAGCGGGGAAAGGTGTGGGGATCCTGGGCACAGGGCTGGGTGCAGGGCAAGGGGGAGGCCGGGCAGTGCTGGCAGGACTGGATGGGACAGCACAGGGCAGCACAGGTCAGACGGAGTGGTCAGTGCTGGCAGGACATCACAGCACAGCACAGCAGAGCACAGCACAGGACAGGTCGGACGGAGTGGTCAGTGCTGGCAGGACAGGACAGCACAGGACAGCAGAGCACAGGACAGCACAGCACAGGGCAGGGCAGGACAGGGCAGGACAGGGCAGGGCAGGACAGCGCAGGACAGGGCAGGTCAGGACAGGACAGCATAGGGCAGGACAGCACGGGACATCACAGGGCAGGGCAGGACAGGACAGGACACCACAGGGCAGGACAGCGCAGGACAGGGCAGGGCAGGACAATGCAGGACAGCGCAGGGCAGGGCAGGACAGCACAGGACAGCACAGGACAGGGCAGGGCAGGGCAGGGCAGGGCAGGGCAGGGCAGGACAGCTCAGGACAGCACAGGACAGGGCAGCACAGGACAGCGCAGGGCAGGACAGGGCAGGACAGGACAGCACAGGACAGCACAGGACAGGGCAGGGCAGGGCAGGGCAGAGCAGGACAGCGCAGGGCAGGACAGCGCAGCGCAGGGCAGGACAGGACAGGGCAGGGCAGGACAGGGCAGGGCAGCACAGGGCAGGACAGGACAGTGCAGGGCAGGACAACGCATGACAGCGCAGGACAGCGCAGGGCAGGGCAGGATAGCACAGCACAGGACAGGGCAGGGCGGGCCCGGTTCGGCCGGAGCGGTCCGTGCCAGCAGCACCGGGCGGTGCCGCAGGGCCGCCACCAGGGGGCAGCACGTGCGCGCAGCAGCGCCGCCGGTGGGCGGGGCTTTGCGGCAGTGGGCGGGGCCTTGAGGCGACCCCGCCCACCCCTGGCCCCGCCCCCGGCCCCGCCCCCGGCCCCGCCCCGTACCCTTGGGCCCGGCACAAGATGGCGGCCGCGACCCTCGCCCGCCGCATCGGCCGCTCAGGTGCGCCCCGACCCTGCCCCGGCCGCTCCCTGCGGCGGGCTCGGCGTGTCCCCGAGCCCCCGCTGCCTCTCTGTGTCCCCCCCTTACCGTCACGGTGCTCCACGTGTCCCTCTGCCGTGGATTGGGGTGTCTTGTACCCTCCCTGAGCGGGTCAGGGTGTGCCCGTGTCGCGCCCTGCCCGTGCAGAGCGGTTTTGGGGAGGCACCCCACACTTGTGGGGGCTGTGCTCTTCCCGGCCTTACTTGTCTGTGTCCCCCAGGTGTGCTGCCCCTGTGCTGCCGCCTCCCAGCGTGGGACAGGGCCGCCCGGCCGCCCCCCAGCCCCCCGCAGCCCCCCGGCCTCCCGCTCGCCCCGTGCCGCTCCTTCAGCAACAACAAGATCCAGGTGGAGCTGGACGAGAGCTCAGGTACGGCGGGTGGCACCTCTGCGGTGTCACCCTCAACCCACGGGTACCGTGGGGCACAGGTCCCTCCCACCCCTGTGCCATGGCATGTGTGGCTCTGGGCACGAAGTCACCAAAGCCACAGGTGTTACAGCTACAGCTGCTTAGGAGCCTTGGGGAGGAGTGTTGGGGTTGGGAGTCTCACCAGTTGTGGGCACTTCAGGTGGTTGGTGCTACAGACAAATCCTGGTTGTCATTGTCCCCTCTCTGGGGGTCGCTGGTTTGGGCACCTGGTAGAGTGGCAGTGCTCCGTCAGGGAAGAGCTGTTGGGAATTTCTGTGACCTGGCTACCAGGAATATCTGTCACAGGGCCATGTCCCTGCACTGAACAAAAGCACATGTTCTTGTGGCTTCCCAGCTCCTGCTTTCAGGTGTCTGTGTGGGTCCTTATGCTGTTCCCAGCTGGGCATGGCTGCAGCACTCAGGCAGAACTTTTTGGGTAGGGCAGTGCAGTTTGGGCAGGGACAAAGGTTCAGAGCCCTTCCCATGGTGCTGTCAGGCTGACAGAGGGTGTGTGACCCCCGGGACACAGCTGTTTGCTGTGACAGAAGCTACAGGCTCGACCTTCCCCACTGAGCTCAGAGAGAAGAGAAGAGAACGGTTGGGCTTTGGGACACATGGCATGCACCACACATGACCTGGTCTGTGCTCCAGTTCACCACCTGCTGAGTGACCCTGGTTGTGGGTGGATCTGGGCAAAGACAGGACCTTGCTCTTGGCTCTGCTGCTCTGGAAGCTTTTAAGCAGCCAGGAGTGCTGTTGAGTGGGAGTGGGAAGACAGTTTGGTGAGGGAAACAGGGACGTGGGTGAAGCTCCTCTGGGCAGGGTGGTGTGAGCTGCTGTTGGGGGTGGTCTGATGTCCCTGTGCTTACCCTGCACAGGCGTTGCCATGATGAAGTTCAAGAGTCCCCCAGTCAACAGCCTCAGCCTGGAGTTCCTCACAGAGTTTTCCATAAGCCTGGAGAAGCTGGAGAACAACAGGGCCTGCCGGGGTGTGATCATCACCTCTGTAAGGGTTTGCTCCTGTTTGGGTCACTGGTCACTGGTGAGGGAGGGCCCTCAGGCACCTTGGACTGGCTCATGGAGGAGGGGAGGGGGCTCTTGGAAAGGCCATGATCTTTCTTCTGTGCCCTTTTCTAGCAGAAGAATGACAACCAAGTGTTGTGCTTTGTCATGAAAATCAAATTTGCTTATCTGCCAACCTGATACGTCCTGTGTCTCCCACCCACAGGGAGCTGCTGGGAGATGCCAGTGCTGATTTCCAGATGTGGTGTGGGGACAAGGTGACAATGGGACAGGACAGGTTTTGTGCTGTGTGGCTGATGTACTCACACAGGGACTCTGACCCTGTCCTGCTTGTGTTGCAAGCAGAGGCCCAGCCCTGCATGCTATAGTAATAGGATAATCCAGGCTGTGGGAGCACTGGGGAGATATTTTCAGAACCCCAAAAGACCCTGATTTATATCACATATTCATCACTTTCCCTTCTTCCAACTGCCAGGCTGAAAGCTGAAGGGTCCTTTCTTCCCTGTGGCTCTCAGTGACCTCTGTCTTTTCCCAATTCCAGGCTCTCCCCAAAATCTTCTCATCTGGCCTGGACATCACCGAGATGTGTGGGAAGAGCATAGAGCACTACACCGAGTTCTGGAGAGCCGTGCAGGAGATGTGGCTCCGGCTCTACGGCTCCAACATGGTGACAGTGGCTGCAGTCAATGTACGTCCCTTGGGCCCACCTTCCTCAGGCTGGGATTGTCACCTGCAGTGGCTGCTCTGGGCTGTGTGGGCAGGGACAACTGAAAAACCAGGCTGAAATTCATCCAGGGATGTATCTTGCTGGGGTGCTCAGACAAAACTCGTGTCTGTCAGTTCTGTGGGGTGTGGGAAGGTATTGGGAGCGTGGGATGCTGCAGGCTCTGTGTAAGCTGCAGGCACTGCTGGGTTACATTTCAGCATTTTCCAGCAGGTTTTGCTCCTCCAGCTGGGGTTCTAGGCCAGCAGGGAAGTGCTGCTGGAGTCTCCGTGTCCATGGCTGGGTCATGACATTTTTGGTGTCTTGTTTCCGTTTTCCAGGGCGCTGCTGCCCTGGCAGCTCACGGTGGTGTCTGTCCACAGCCCCCCATTGAAGGCACTTGGGTTTTCTCTCAGGCATCCTGTGCAGGGCTGAGCAGCACTGAGACATGGAAAAGATGGTCACAAATGGAAGGGAAATCTTCCCTGTGAGGGGGGTGAGGCCCTAGAACATGTTGCCCAGAGAAGCTGTGGCTGCTCCATCCCTGGAAGTGTCCAAGGCCATGCTGGATGGAGTTCTGAGCAACCTGATCTAGTGGAAGGCGTCCCTGCCTGCAGCAGGGGGCTGGGAATGAAATGGGCTTTAAGGTGCCTTCCAACCCAAACCTTCCTGTGGTTCTATTAAACCCTGATAAACATCAGAAATCTTTAGGAATCAAATCGTGTGATCAGAAACTTGGGGCACATCTGCTCTGTCTTTCTGGTGTCTTCTGTGCTCTGGAGTGACCAGCAAGGCTGGGGGGTGTTTGTAACCACGTCCTGGACTCACTCTGTCCTTCTCTCTGCCAGGGGTCCAGCCCGGCTGGGGGCTGCCTTGTCGCCCTTTCGTGTGACTACAGGATCATGGCAGAGAACCCCAAATTCAGCATCGGCCTGAACGAAGCCCAGCTGGGCATTGTGGCTCCCTTCTGGTAGGCCAGTGCCTCCCCCTTCTAGTATCATGTGTAAATCTCTAGAAAGAATTCATCTTCAAGGAGTTAATTAGTCAGTTCAACTGGTCATGGTGGTGTGGTTTGTGTGTCAGGGATCAGGTATTTGCAGCTGCAGGAGATGACACCTCATGTCTGTCCTGTCCTGCAGGTATCTGAGAAGCTTTCAGGCTGTAGAATGTCCTCACGTCCTGCACCAGCAAGGACCTCAGTTCTGGCCCTGCAATTAACTCCATAACTAATTCTGGGAGATCTCAGGTGTCAGGCTCAGTCTGAGAATAGGCATTTTCTGGGTACACACTGTGTACCTGCAAAATTCTGTGGTGTGGAGATCTCTGAAAGCACGGGGGCACTAAGACACTGACACATAGGCCCTTGTTTGCCCTAGGAATGTATAAATGTACTGTTGGGAAGGAGCTTTCAGTCACAGCCAGTGAGTACCCACAGGCACTGAGATAAAAAGAGCAGTTTTCTTACAGAGGAGGGGGAGCTCTCTTGGGGTACTGCCAAAAATGGCTCTTCTCACACATTTTCACATTGTGACTGAACCTGAGGAGTGGGACCAGGATGTTCTCAGAGCCCTGAGCCTGGGGAGTGGGACCAGGGTGCTGACAGCTCTTGATGTCTGGGTGAGCTGCCCCTGAGTGTGGCTTTCCCTCCATCTCTTGCAGGTTTAAGGACACGATTGTGAATGTTGTGGGACACCGAATTGCTGAACGCTCCCTCCAGCTGGGCTCCCTCCACCCTGCACCTGAGGCCCTCAGGTTGGGCCTGGTGGATGAGCTGGTGCCAGAGGAGAAGCTCATGGAGAAGGCTGCAGCTGTCATGGCACAGTGGCTGGCCCTTCCTGGTAATCCTCTGGCAGGAGAGGAGGGGACCTGGTCTGAATGGGAGGCACAGATGCCAGGGCTGGTTCCTGGGAGCTGTGTAACAGCTTCCATTGAAAGGGGAGGTTTGGATTGGCTGGAAGGGAGGAAAGCTCAGCCCAGCAGTCCCAGCAGCCTTGGGCTAACGGAAAGGGACACTGTACTAATGTTCAGGCACATGGCTCCAGCTCAGCTCATCCTGCCAGCCCTGCTGAGTCAGTCTGGAGGTGTCTGAGCTCCAGAGACAAAGCCAATCTCTGTCTGTCAGTGGAGGTGTTAGTCCAGGAAAGCTGCCATGGAGCTGTGTGAGAGCTTCTGGGTGGCTGCCAGGCAGCTTTCGTGGTCTGAATCAACTCTTGGCACTCTGGAGGCAGTGATGGGGGTGTGGATGAAGTCAGGCACAGCACAGGCATTGTGTGTTTGGGCTGCTCCATGACTGCAGCACGAGGTTCCTGGGCTGGGAGAGGGCTCTCCACTGATCTGAGCTGTCCCAGCCCGTGCCACCTCTCATCCCTGCTGTCCTGGTGTTAGAGTGACACCTCACCCTCCAGAACAGGGAGCATATCTCAGCTGTGCCCTCTCCTGACTTCCAGGAGGTCCTGTGAAGATCCTTCCCCTAAATCAGAACTGTGTCTGGGTGGAGGTGGCTTCAGCACCCGGGTGCTGGAGCAATTCAGCGTTCCCAGTGTGTGGATGGAGGGGGTCAGTCCTCATTTCATTGTCACTAAGTGCATGAATAAAACATCTGTGCAGCTGTTGTGCTGCCACATCACTGCACCTGGCTCTGTGAGGGTGTGAGCAAATTTGTGCTCAAGGCCTCAGTCAGCTCCACCAGCCCTTGCTGCTCCAGCAGCATCCACATATCCATGTGGAATGGCACAGGCCCGGGGATGAGCTCAAGGGAAGTGTTGCTGGATTTTGTACAGCATGGTTGGCAGGAGCAGGCTGTCTTGCAGGGATTGAGGGAATTGGTTCAGGGGAGCTTAGAGCCACAGCAGTTTCAAATAAGAAGGAATTTTGTTTGGTTACTGGTATGTATTGGAGGTGGATGTTGGGCTCTGGAGGGCAGAGAGAAGGAGGTACACAAGTTTCTGTCATCTTTGTCAGTAGATCAGTCATTTCCCAATTGAGCAGTACAACCATAATTTATTGTATGAGAATTTATCCAGTTCAGCTCCCAGCTAGTGGGTTATTCTTCCCCCTTTCCATGCCACTTTCAAGAGCACTTTGCAGTGTGAACTAGCCCATTAGACCTGCATTTGGTGGCATTGAGAGCTGGTCAGGGGTGAGAACAGGGCGTGTTCCTCATCCTTGCTGTCCTCTCTGCAGACCATGCCCGCCAGCTCACCAAGACCATGATGAGGAAGGCGGTGCTGGACCGCCTGGTAGCTCACCGGGAGGAAGACATCAAGAACTTCATCAGCTTTGTCTCCAAAGAGTCCATCCAGAAGTCCCTTCGCATGTACATGGAGATGCTGAAGAAGAGGAAGAGCTGAGGATCCAGCTGATCCCTGGGAGGTCGAGTCACCCTCTGGAACGCTGCAGTAGCTGTTGGTCTGACAGCGAAGCCACCTGCAGTGGCAGCAATCGGTGACGTGCCACCTGCTCCCACGGCTGCCCAGCTGCCCCTTCCCTTTGTGCCTGTAGAGTGCCTGACACCACTGCTGCCTTCCCCAAGGGCAGGGAGAGCCCACCCAGCCCCCCAAGGAATGGACAGGGACAGGGTCTCAACGTGCTGTGGCCCGAGCCCGACAGTCCTTGGATGTCCTCCCTCCTGTCCAGCAGTTAATCGTGAAGTGAGGTTTGTCAATAAATCTTCAATGAGGTAGGAGATGGATGCTTTGTTCATGGCTTCTCTGTGGTGGCAGTGTCCTGGCTGGTGGCCTGTTCCCAGGCTCTGGTTCATGCTGGGCTGGGGGCTCTGGGCACAGCCAGCTCCCATCCTTCTCCAGACCGGGATCTGGGGCAGCCCATGCACACAGCTTGTGGATGGGGCTGAGTGGAACACCTTCGTGGGGATTGGTGGTGGGAGCTGGAGCTGGATCCTGGTCTGTGGCTGCAGGAGGAGCTCAGGCCGCCAGCTTCACCTCGACTGGGTAGTGGTCACTGACTGCCAGGGCCTGGAGGAGGGCAAGAGGTGGGAGATGTTCAGTCAGCTGCTCACCCCTTGCTGTGCTGCTGGGGCTTGCAGGGCAGTCCATTTCCCTGCCAGAACCTTCTGCCTGCTGGAGGGGGCACACTGTCCCCAGCCCCAAGACACAACACACAAGACTCTCAGGGAGAGATGCCCAGGTGTGGCTTGGGGTGGGCACTGGCAAGGGGCCACCTCCCCTCCAAGGCCCCATGTCTCATCTGGGGCCTCTGTGTCAGTGATGGGTTGTTGAAGGTTGGCTTGGGTTACCCCATACTTTGGGTCCTGCCCATGGAAGACAGTAAAGAGCTCTGTGCATCTCTTCTCTTCCCAATGGGGACAGGCAGGAACCCCAATCCCCTGTCCTGTTTCCACCCTTGGGTCCCTTGTCACTCTGAGCCCCTTGAAGAGACAAGGACAGCCCTGCAGCCTGAGCCAGCTCAGCTTTGGTGCCTGCTATAGACCCCCAAATGTGTGATCCTGGCTCACCTCCTCCTGGTCCAGCTGCAAAGCACGCTGGAAATTGTAGATACCAGCTGAGTTGGACAGGATGCTTCTCTTCAGCTTGTTGCCACATACCACGATCCTGCAGGGGAGATGTGGGTGGATAGTGGGTGGCAGTCCTGCCCCTGCTGGAAGTGTAGGGCAGGCAGGGGACCACCAGGGTGCCAGGGAAGGGGACAGGGGTGCCGTGGTGGCAGCACTGACCTGTCATAGGCACAGTCAGACTTGCCCACGGTGGTGTCGGCGCTGTCGGGGATCAGCCACTTGAAGATGTCGCTGGTGCGCAGGCGGATGGATGACCAGTCGCTCGGCTGGACGTAGGAGCAGTCAGCATTGAAGTCCCCCAGGAACATCAGGTTCTGCAGGGGAGATGGGAGATGGGGGTGGTGGGCTGTTCCCGCCACCAGCCCTCCCATGGTGGTGGCAGGGACCACCCTGTCACAGGGCAGGAGCAGGGTTCTCACCCCACCGCTCCTGCACCAGCTGTGCTCGCCTTGAAGCATGGTCACAGTGTGTGTCAAACTGTCTGGGGCTCAGTGCCCAACGTCTGTGTCCCCCCAGAGCTGGTGGCACTCACATCAGTCCCCCACTTGTTGATGATGGCCAGGTAGACGTCGTAGAGCGCATCGATCTCAGCGACAGCATCATGTGGGGCCGAGTGCAGAGGCACCAGCACAAACTCCTTCACCTCTGCCAGGGGGAGAGGGATGTCAGCCCCACAGCCACCCCATGCCACAACCCATGGCCACTTGTTCCTCCACTTACTGGTGCTGGGTGCTGAGACTCTCAGGATGAATGGCTCCCGGCTGAAGATATCCTGGGGGTCCTCATATTGGTAGGTGTCCACCACAGACACCACATCTGTCCTGTGGCAACAAAAGGATGGTGACCCTGGGACTTGGCACAGCCCCTGTGTCCCCTCTGTGGTGCTGGTGGCACTGCAGTGCCATGGCACAGGCAGCAACACTGCCATCCCCATTACCTGTAGATAAACAGGTACATCTCCTTGTAGTTCTCCCGTCCCAGGGGGCCACTGATCTCGTAGTCGTATGGGGATGTGGATGCGCTGCAGAGACACAAAGGCAGGACAGTGACATGGTTGGGACCGTCTGGATTAGCTTTGGCATGTCCAGGAGCTGGGTGGCCCCAGGGTTTGCACCAGCTGGTCCTGCTCTAGAGTCCCTGTGGGTCACTGTGCCCTGGTTGTGGGGTGACATGAGGCATAGCAGCTCTGAAGCCCCCAGTGCCTCTCTCCAGTGGCTCCATGGGCACAGCGTGACATGGGGTGGCTCCTGCCACCCTTTCTCTTCAGGGACATTCCTCACCTTCATTTGCAGCAGAGCTAAATTAGGTCAGTGAGCAGCCTGGGGCTTTGAAGCACCCAGCGTCACCCTCCCTGCCCTGGCTGCTTTATGGCCTTGCTGGAGGGGACGCGGAAGGGGTGAGGACATGGGCTGGGCACACCTGCTCAGGAGCACCAGCTGCCTTTCAACACTGCGGCAGCAGCTTCCGCATGGTCCCGAGCCGTGCCCTCTCCCAAAACTGGGTCAGCACCCAGTTGGTGGAGGGGCTGCCACCCTGCTGTGGCCAGTTTTAGCCCACCTCAGCAGCCCTTTTCCTCCTAGGGTGCCAGAACCACCCCTTTCAAAGCACCATCCACTACTGGGCTCATCCTGGGGTCCCCATGCCATTCACAGGGTCTTGGGGTGCAAGGTCTGCCTGTCCCTTCCTCCCCCTCTGCCCTGTCCTGTTGGATTTTGGAGACAGAGCTTGCCAGAGATGTAGCTCCTGCATGCTCTGGTGAGCTTACAGCTTTCAAAATGGATTTGTATCACTTGTATCCCTATTCTCTTTACTGGGTTATTCCCAGTATTGTTTTCAGTGCCTCCTCCTTGCCCCAGCATGTTTCTCCTATTCTTCTTTCCAAAACTAAACTGTTGATGGATGGACAGCTTTGTTTTGCCTCTTACTGCTCAGGCAGCCTGGCTTTCCCTGCTGGTGCATTATCCCCGTCCCAGCCCCTCTTGTACCTGTTGAGCTGCTCCATGAGCTCGGTGACGGCGCTGAGGTTGGAGTCGCGCACCTCCTGCACCAGCACCACGTCGTAGCGGCGCAGGACCTGCGAGGCCAACGGGGACAGCTCAGGGTGAGGCTCCCACCCATCTCCCAGTCAGGGACATGGTTCCAGCTTCAGCACCATGGGGACTTGCATGTCCTTTGGGGCCAGGGCAGATGTCCCCAGGGAGGGCTCGGAGGGACTGTGGGGTGTGCCTGACACCCCACCACATCCACCACATCCACCCAGGCTGTCCCCAGCACTGTGATGCCATCCTATCCTCAGCCACATCCCCACGTCTCTGGCACAGGAGCCCTGTTGGGGTCTGTCCCAGCACACAGCCCATCCCCATGGTGCGCTGGCTGCACTCACGTTGATGATGATGTCTGCCACTTCCTTGTTGGACATCTTGGTGTCACCGAAGGCCTGGATGTTGAAGGCACCGATGCGCAGCATGGCAGTGGCTGGGCACAGGAGAGCCACAGCCAGCAGGGGCAATCCCAGTGTCACAGTCCCCATTCTTCCAGAATTGATGCTGGGTCACAGGGGTGCAGGGATGGGAGATGAACTCGGAGCACTGTTTTGGATTTGGAGTAGAGGAAGAAACATGTAGATCCTTCCAAAGTCCTGGTGTGTGACAGTGTGTCATGGTGGGCATTGCCCAGAGCAGGCTGCAGAGCTGGTGTGGGCAGTGTGCCAGCTCACCAGTCCCAGAAGATAAATCCTGTCTCACTGCTGTGAGTCTGCCTCTTCCAGCTCCAGGGATCACCCAGCTCCACTCCCCCACCAGGATGTCTTCTCTGCCCACAAGCCCCATCCACCACTGCCAGCATTCCAGGCACCCCAGGTTGTTCCACATCCTTAAACTTCACCACAGCCCTCACTGCTGGGGCAAGGGGCGACTTCTCATCCCAACTCACCCCAGTTCACCCCAGTCCCACCTGGTTGGCAGTCGAAGGAGCTGAGCCCAGACCCGTCCTTACCTCTCTGAACGTGCAGCACCTCTGTCCTGCCGGCAGCTGGATGGGCGGCTTTATTCCCAGCGGAGGTGCCGGCAAAGCAGGATGAGTCGGACACCCCCGTGGGGGTTTTGACATAACTTTGAGCTCCTTCCCACATTGGGAAACCAAAAATCCCACAGGGCGACAGGGTGGGGCCAGCACAGCCATCCCTGTGCTGACACAGCAAAGGACAGACAGGGAGACATGGAAATGCTGGGGCATCCCTGTGGGACTGGATGGGTACGTGGGACTTGGGGGCTGCCATCTGGGGTGGCACCTGGACCACAGAGTGGGCATGGTGGCCAGGCAGGAGGTGAAGGGCGCTGGCTTTAATTGGGTGATTCAGACAGTGTAATTAGAGGGAAGAAAAGGAAATGGCCAGTGGCTGGGTCAGGCAGGTGAGCACCACCAGCCACGGCAAGAGGGGATGGCTGCGAACCCCTGCAGCAGCCCTAGTGTCACCCAGAACAGCCCCATTGGTGACCCAAAGTAGCCCCAGGAAGGCTGGCATTCTGGCATTCCCTATCCAGTTCATGGCATCACCATGACCCGTGACATCACCCCAGGATGACAACGGAGCAGCTGGCTCTGGTGGCTGCTCGTGCCAGGACTTGCCAGGCTCTCATGTGCCCTGCCAGGTTTTGTATCCTCACACCCAGTCTCGGGATGAGTTCTGTGTCCCTCGGTGTTGTGTCGGCACCGAAACCCCCTGGGAAGCACCAAGCCCCCTGGGAACTGACTCACATCCTCCCTGCACCCTGTCAGCGCCCTGTCACAGCCCCGCAGCCAGGCAGGCTCTGTCAGGATGTGGCCCTGTGAGCTGGCAGAAGAACATCCTGCACCCTGGAAAACCTGGAGCCCCCCAGCCCCTTCCCAGAGTCCTGAATTTTGCCACCATCAGCTGAGAGGGAAGCAGCGCTCACCACCCCATGTGTCCAGGTCTCTTGATGGCAGGAGGTCCCCTAGCCCTGGGGCTCTCTGGCAGGGGGCTGAGGAGCCAGGGGCTGCTGGGGATACTGAAGGGACCTCCCCAGAGTTGCAGAGGCAGGAAAAGGCTCATTTTTAATGGAAGCAGAAAGCAAAACACTTCCACAAGGGCCCAAGGACTCCTTGCAGAGACAGTGGGCAGCTTGGCTGGCACCAGTGGCATGTGGGCTCCCATGAGGGATGCAGGTGTGTGCTGAGGTGTCCTGGTAGCCACTGTGTGGGGACAGGCTCAGTGGGCTTTCAGGGTCACCTCCACTGGGAAATGGTCGCTGACAGCCAAAGCCTGCATTTGAGGGAGAGCAGAGTCAACCTGACCTCAGTCAACTCATAAACCCTGAGCTCATCTGGACCCACTGCCACTGTCATGGCTGACTGGGACCCCAACACTCCACTCCAATCCCCAAAATTTAGACCATACCCCAAAATACTTAATCTGGAGGGTTGATTTGGTACAACAACTGGGATCAGGCTGCCCTTAGGTGCACCCTTGGGAACAGAGAGCCCTCCCATGCTCCCAGGAGCTATGGTGGGGCAGATCCCAATGCTGGTAGGCTCATGCCCCACCCAGCCCCTCACTCACATCCTTCATCTGCAGGTGGAATTTCTGCTGGAAGTTGTTGATGGTGGCAGAGCCAGGCTCAGTGCCTTGGCGCAGCGCGGTGCCGCAGGCCACGATGCTGCCGAGGCATCACAGGGGGTTAGTGCCCGTCAGCCCTCCCCGTGCCAGCCCCCCGTGCCAGCCCCCCGTGCCAGCCCTGGCCGTGGCACCCACCGGTCGTAGGCGCAGTCGGTGTCGGCCACGGTGGTGTCGGCGCTGTCGGGGATGAGCCACTCGCAGGCGGGGAGGGAGCGCAGGCGGATGGACGGCCACTGGGAGCTGGTCACGTAGGAGCAGCCAGCGTTGAAGTCACCCAGGAAGATCATGTCCTGCAGGGCAGAGCACTGAGTCCCTGCCCACACACCTTACAGGGCAGCAAGGGCTCCCTAAACTCTTAAGGGAGATTTCTTAATCTGCAAACCCCCCTGAGGTGACCAAGTGTGCAGGGATAAGCCCCCAGGAGTGGCAGGAGGGCCATCCAGCAGCTCCCTGCCTGGAGACTGCTGGGGTGGCACCTGCTCTGATGGGTACAAGAGGCCTCCCATGGGACATGTTCATCCCACCTGGCTGCCCTGGGGAGGAGCCCAGTTCCCCAACGCTGCTTACGTTAGTCCCCCACTTGTTGATGACATCGGTGTAGACATCGTAGAGCGCATCGATCTCCTGTGCTGCATGGCTGGGCTCGGAATGCAGAGGCACCAACACGAACTCCTGTACCTCTGCTGGACAGCTGACCATCAGCCCCTGGGGTGCAGCCCCTGAGCCAGGAATGGGAACCCCAGGAAACCACCCCAGGGCAAGCCCCAGCTACTGGCCAGGAAAAGCAGCTGGAGGGAAAGGATGTGTTGAGTTTGGTGATCTGCCTGTCCCTCAGACTGGAAATTCCAGTGGGGAACTGCATGCCTTTGTGCACTGTTTGGGGTTTGCTGCTTGTTTCCCATTAGCATTTGCAAGCCAGTATGGTTTTGGGCAGGAGGTGGGATGGTGTGTGTGCCCTGAGGAGGCTCTCAGGAGGTGGAGGTGATAGCACAGGGTCAGCAGTGGAACAAAGTGGGAAATGGGACATGATGGGAGATCGAAAGGATGGGGAATGACAGGTGATAGGAGATGGCACCCAGCCAGAGGAAGCAGATGGTGGGATATGGCACAAGATGGGAGGTAGCAAATAATGGGATGTAGGACAGGATGGGAAGCAGCTGGAGATGTGAGGTGGCACACAACTGGAGAGAACTCATGGTGGGAGATGACAGGTGATTGGTAGGAGATGGCACATCCTGGGAAACAGCAGGCACTGCTTTCCATGCTGGGCAGGGACATAGGACCCCTGGGCATCCATGGGTGGGACCCTGGTGGAGGGTTGCAACCCCCCTATGCTCAGCAGGCACAGCTCTGGGTTCAGCCCTGCATGGAGGGGACCCTGTGCCAGGTCTGGGCATCCCCCAACATGGGCTCTGCTCACGTGTGGTGGGTGAGGAGAACTTCACAATGAAGGGCTCCCTGCTGAAGGAGTCGTTCCCACAGGATTCGCAGCCATCATCGTAGTAGTAACTTCCCAGCACGGAGACCATGTCTGACCTGAGGGAGGAGAGCAGGGCAGCTCCCAGCACTGCTCCTGCCACAGCCAGGACCCCCAAAGGTACCCATGCCCTTTGGGGGCTGCTGGGGAGGGCAGCAGGTGACGCCTGGCAGCAGCCCTACCTGTAGATGAAAAGGTACTGCTCCTTGTAGCTGGTCCGACCCAGGGGGACGCTGACCAAAGAGCTGTATGGGTGCTTCCCAGCACTGGGAGCAAGTTGTGGAAACGGTGAGAGGAGGCTCCTGGTGCTTTCCAGCATCCACCAGGCTCTCTCCAGCTGAGCCAGAGGTGCCCTGGCGTGGCTGGAATCCATCCCATAATCCCACCCCAAGCCATGGGGTCACCTGTTGAGCTGGTCCATGAGGTAATTCACAGCACTCATGTCGGCATCCCGGACCTCCTGCACCAGAACGATGTCGTACTCCGACAGGACCTGGGGGACAAGCTCAGAGCTGCTCTGCCCTGGCCAGGAGCTGCTCTAGGGGCACCTGTGGTTGCCTGTTCTGGGCTGTGAAGGCTCCCAGGCTGGCAATGGGAGGGCAGCAGGGACCTCAGGGCCAGGGAGGAGACCCCTGTGTTGGTGTGCTCTGGCTTGGAAGGGCCCTGTCTGTCCACCACCCACCTACCCAGCAGCTGCTCCAACCTGGGCAGCATCAAATTCTCCCAGCCTTGACTGGGACCAGCAATGGTGGAGATGGCCTGAAGTGGGAGATGGTGGTGGGGGAAGAGCAGATGGGTGGGTGGGTGGGTGGGTGGATGGATGGATGGATGGATGGATGGATGGATGAAGCAGGTGTCCCACAGCCCAAGCTGGCTGCATCCCAAAGAGCAGAGCATGCCCAGGCCTGCTCCTCCCCCCACCACTCACAGAGATTATGATATTTGCGACGGTCTGGTTGGACATCTTGGTGTCCCCAAACGCTTTGATGTTGAAGGCACCAATCTTCAGCGTGGTGGCCACGTGGAGCAGGAGAGCTGTGACCAGCAGCGACAACACCAGCCTTGAGGTTGCCATTCTGTGCAGAGGTGCAGGACAGGCTCAGCCCACCTGGTCAGAAGAGGGATTTGGGACAGACAACAGGGATGGCCAGGGATTCCCACTGGCCATACTGGTTTCACTGGGAGGCATCTGTTTTCTAAAGGGACCACCAGGGTGCAGGGATTGTACCTCTGTTGCATGGGGCCTCATCCTACCTGTCCCTCCTGGAAGGAGGCCAGGTCACTCACAAGGCTGGAGCGGAAAATTCCCAGCAAATAAATGCCACTTCATGGTGACACAGAGCAGTCACTTCCTCATTCCCCATGAGGGAGAGCTCAGTCTGGACACCTCTAATGGCCTGGGATTGGTGGCAGTGGCCGGGGACCCCAAAATCCCTTTGGCTTGTGCCTCTCCCACCTTTCTCTGGATCATTGCTAGAGACCCCAAAGACCCTACAGCGGCTGTGCTGGGACAGAGCAAGGGATCGATCCTCTCTGACACCCCTCCCCACCTCCCTCACTGCCTGGAGCATCCTCACCTGGGGTAACCTGCCCCTGCCCTGCCCCATCCCCCAGCAGTGCCCCTGCCCCATCCTCACCAGGCTGGCTCCCTCTGCACAGGCAGTGCTGCAGCTCCCACCCACGGGGAAGGCGTTTGGGAAATATTTCCCGTGGCACTGCACTGCCTGGGGTAATATTTCACCAGCGTGTGGGATCTGAGCCCTGAGCCCTGCCCAAGCCTGGGTTCCTGAGTGCCTAAACTCACCCAGAGCCTGATGAACGGAATGAGAGGAGGGGCAAATGCTCCAGCCTTTGGCGCACCAAATCTCAGCCTGAGGAAGGATTTGCTGGCCTCAGGCTCACTTTTCCTTCTGGGGCAGCTGCTCTAGTTAAACCCTCACTTTTCCCACTTGCACTCCTGCTCCAAACTCTTCCCTCTAACACCACAGTCCCTTCAGCTGATAACGCAGTGATTTGGCAATGCCATGATTTGGTCGTGCCAAAAACTGCCCATAGCCCCATAAATCCTCCCCACTCCTGGAGAGCACAGCAGCCTCTGAACCTCCCAGGCAGAGGCACCTACAAGGAGCATATTCATCCCCGAGCTGCACCCAGGCTTGGCCCGGCAGAGCATTGTGGTAAAATTGGGCTGGAGGAGGTGACACTGTCAAGGGAAGCTCCTGGAGGTGCAGGAAGAGAAGAGAGCAGGACCTACCTTTGATGCTGTCCAAGGACTCTGGAAGGGGAAGGATCTGCACCTGCATTTATGGAGAGGGACACTCTCTCCTTGCCAGGTGGTTGCCCAGCCAAGGATCATGTGAGGCCGCAGGCTCCATATGGCATTTTCCACAGAAGCAAAGGTCTGCTCAGTGAAAAAAGAACTCTTTCAACCTCTGCCAATGCCTCCCACCACAGGTAAGGCTGAGAAAGGATTAAAATGCCAACAAGAGCTCTACAAGGTGAAATGAATGCCAGAGATCTCTTGTGGGGATCAGCAGCTTCCCAATACGTGGCATGGGCAGCTCTCACTTATCACCAGATACAAATTCTCTTAAAAAGTGTTTATTTCACCAACACAAATCATTCCCATCCAGCACCCCACATTTCCAACAAGCTGTGAGCATGCTAGGGCCAGCAGGAGCCATCCCAGTGTTGTCTTTGGGTGTGAGGCCAAAAGTCCCCAAAAAAAAGACAAATCCCTCCCATGGTGCCCATCCCCAGACCCTCCCGAGGAGGTCACCTGGCTCAGGCCCTGTCCCTGGGAGGGCCATGCAGTGCTGGGGGGTGGCAGCCCTGCACCCCAGCCGCTCCCACAGCTCCCACAGCGCTGTCCCAGTGGCCTTGGCTGATGTCCCTGCCTCCAGAGGCAGCTGCCGTGTTTCCCAGGAGAGCCTCTGCAGTGTGCAGTGATCCTTAGGGGCTGGGGGCCCTGGCAGCCTCTCCCCTGGTGCCAGGCACCCTCCAGAGAAGGGGTGCTCCCTGCAGTGGGATCAGGGCTGGACCTAGACCCCCCCAACAGGCTCCCCAGGCTGGACCCAGGGCCAGGTTTCCCCAGCCAAGACCCTCCATCATCAATCCCT